GTTGTCGCCGCTGTCGCCCCGACTTGAGAGCCCGTATTGGACGTTGCGGCGTCACGTCCTGTGGCGGCTTTTCACGCCATGAACAACAGTGTGCCCGTCATTTTCTACCAAAACAGATGCAGCATCTGCCATGGGTTTGCTAGTAATTTCTTTGAGGGCTCGCCAGGCAATACCACGACGAACCGGATTTCACCTAGGGGCGCCGACAGCTGCAGCAACCCGGTGCGGATCATCGTTGATTGGGGCTGTGCCACGGTGACGCCGCTGATGCACCAACGCACATGTCGGTGTCTGCTTGATGACCTGATGCCGCTGGAGAATAAAGTGCATGAGCAGACCTGTAGGAATCATCTGGGGCGGACTCAAAGCGGCAGTAATTGATGGACGAAGAGGATGCGTACTGGCGCTCGTACCGTCATTATTTTCTTGCGCGGTGCGTGGAGGAGCTTTTGGTGGCGCTGAAAAAACTCCACGCGTATCACCCTGGACTTGGCGCAGGACGCAGAGCCGAAGGCCAATCTTGCGGAGTTGAGCAGAGCGGTGCGGGCTCCGCCGGAGCTTCGGGTGAGGCAGGCCAGACTGTCGCTGCACATCGACATTTGCGCGAGGCTTGTGGCACAGTACCGGGAGAAGCGACTGGCGGAGGTGTGGGAAGTGGAGCAAAACATTACCGCCGCGCACAAGCTCTTTATGACAGGCCTCAGCGGCGTGCGGCGCCTGGCGAGGGATGCCGCAATGCCCCGGCTGGTGCGACTGCGTCTTCTCCTGTTGCTTTTGGCTGCGAGCAGCACCGACGAGTTGACGGAGGCCAAGAAGCAGCAGCTGATCCAAGACGGCGGACTGACGCCCGACGCCTATTTGTTTGCGACCCTCGAGCATGTGACGAGGAGGGCCGGGAGCGTGCAACGATACAGCACGGCGTCGGTGCACAGCGAACGGAGAACGAGTGCTTCCGCAGGCAACGCCGCGACGGACGGGGATCCGTTTCTGAATCAGGCCTGCATGATTATGGAGACGGCGAACAGGAAGAGGACGCTGCGGGTTGGGCTTTCGTTGGCATCGATTCAGCGCGATCATGCGATGAGGCCAAATGGCGAGAGCTGTGCCCAAAACAGTGGAGCAGCCGGAAATAACGCCGGGCCATTTCAAGAGTGTGGTGGCAAGGGGGAGAATCATCCTCATCTGGGTGGCGGTGGTGGTGGGACGATTGCCCCCACAACTCCTCAGCGCATTTTGCTCTTTGTTTTGGGTGGTGTAACCTGCTGCGAGAGGCGCTCGGTCCGTGAGATATCCAAAAGGTACGGCCGTGAGGTGGTCATTGGGGGAACCCTACTGCCGTGTCCTGAGGTGTGAGTTTTTCCAGGGAATTGGCACCTCACGGCTGTGGGACTCACGGGCCGGACTCGCACAGGAACGCATCGGGGGCCAAAGAGTGAGAAATACACAAACACAAACAAGTGCAGGTGTCCATGGGGATTGTGTGCGCTTCTTCCTACATTTTGTTTCTCTCCATAAATTGTTTCATACGATGCACGTGTTTGTGTTTCAACGGCTGCGCTGCTCGCATTTTGCTTTTTTTTGCCTGCGTTTGCGGTCGCAAGTCATTTTACTACAACGAAGAGGATAAAAAGGGAGGGCATTTGTGGAGCATGCACCCACGGCTTCGGTGTTCATCCACCGATGCTGGCTTTTCTCGTTGGGGCATTCGTGAGCGCTGCAGCGGGTTCTTGTTGCCCTCGCCGCGACGCGCCTAACGGTGGCAGTTCCATGACTCTGGGCACAAAAGGAATGGAACGTTCTTTGGATCCTCGCCGCGGTGCATGCCGTGGACGGCCGCAAAGGAGTATGTGCCCGGTGTTGTTCATAGCTCCAAGGAAACGATGGTGTTGGATGGCGCACAACGAGTCGACGTGGATTGCGTTGACCGTGCATCGCGGGTGGATCCGCTGGAGACATTGCGGGCTACCGTGGCCACATGCGAGTACAATACATCCACCGGAAAGAACGTTTTCCAATTGGCCTTTCAGGCGGAATCAAATGGCCGCGGGCAACGGTTTCACCGCAAGCAGTAGAAGGGGAGACGTGAGAAAAGGACGCTACCCGCACCGCCATTCATTTTCGTCGCCACGGCAGTAACGCAGCCGCATGCTGCTCCGCGACGTCTTGCGGCAACACCACGACGTAGCCCGCGCCAATACGCCTTGCGGATGTTTTGGGCGGCACGCGCTGTTCTGTTTGGCGCCACTGTTCCCCCACCCCCGAGCGTCGGTGCACACTCCCCTGTTGATGCACGTTCCTATCGCTTGCGGACACATCCATTCAATGATGTGGCTGACACCCCAGCCCACTGCTGGTGCTTCTGGCATGACTGCCGCACAGCCCCCAACAGCGGGTGCAGTGGGACTGGGGACGAGCACACGGCGGACCAAGTTCAGTCAGATGTTGCTGGCAGCCCTGTCAGCGTCTCGCCTACCCCAACCACATCACCAGCGAACACAGACATGGACGGGGCAGAGAAGGCTTCAACGGAGTGTCAGGACACCAGTTGTCCTGACACATCACTTGCAGCCAAACAACCGGAAGAATTACAATAACAGTCGTCATCACTAGTGAAAAATGAACAGCGACCACCGCCGACACCGACAGCAGCACCGCGGTCTCCCACACTATCTCCCATCCTTTGCATCTTCTTGTCGCGCGTGCGTCAGCAGCTGCGGTGGTGACCGGGGCTGCATGAAATAAGTTGTTTACGCTGAATATCAACGAGGGCAAAGGGCAACTGAATTGTTTTTATCGTGGTGAATATTGACTGCACTTCCCGTGGACCAACAATTCGCGTGGTGTGCGGAGATATCTCTTTTTTTATTATAGCTTTGCTTTTGCGTTGCTGTGTGCGCTGCAACTTCTTTTGTGTGTGCGTACCCTCCGTGAGGGGTGCCGACACGACGGACCGCTCTCGCCGTGTGTGCATGCGGTGGAGCCTTGTGTGCCGCTCCTGTTTGCTTCTCCCTCTTCCATCTGTGCGTTGGTGTTGCGGCAGGGCTGTGTGTGTGTGTGCGTGTTGCCGTGGATTGGAGTGTGTGTCGTGCGTGGTGTGCGGCGTACGGTGCATGCCTGGCTGCTGCCCTCTCCTCATGTGGTGTGCCCTCTGTGTGTGTCTGCCGCACCTCTCGTCTCCCCTGTTGCTCTCCATGTCCCTCACTGTGCAGATCAGCTCCACACCACTGAACGACCACACTCACGATGATGACGTGCCGTCTGCTGTGCGCCCTGTTGGTGCTTGCCCTGTGCTGCTGCTCGTGTGTCTGCACGGCATCGGTTGTTGCGGAGCATGTTGTCACAGGTGAACCGCTCAAACCGCCACAGGGGACAAGTCTAGGGATCAAGTCTCCGGATTTAAGTATCCCTGCAGACCAGCAAGATGTTGCTGTCGATGGGGCAGATCAACCAGTCAAGGCCGTTAAGGAAGGAAAACCGCGTGCGTCTTCCGATACAGAAAATGAAGAAGACACGACTGAACAGGCAGAGTCGGAAGGTGTGGACACTAAATCTAGAGCTTCAACGGAGAATTCCAGTAAGTCGGTGGTAAAGAGTTCAGAGCAGAATCCGGAAGTTTTAAGACCCAATGAAGAGGTTAACCTCCCGACAGCAAATACGAAGACCACGACGACCACAACCACAAAGGCACCAACTACGACTACGACAAAGGCACCAAGCACTAAGACCACAGAGGCGCCAACCACGACGACCACCCGCGCACCGTCACGTCTTCGCGAAATCGACGGCAGCCTCGGCAGCGCTGCGTGGGTGTGTGCCCCGCTGCTGCTCGCCGCATCCGCGCTGGCGTACACCGCTGTGGGCTGAAAGGAAGCGTGGGCTGTGCGTGCCAGCACTCAGCCACGGGGACATGTGTACGTCTACTGTGGTCCGATGTATGAAGTAAGAGTAATTACGCTGATTGTTCTTTGCTTTTTTTGCTTCCGCTGCCCTGCTGCGTGCTCCGCGTTGCTTCCCACATCCGTCACGTTGAGCGCGTCCCAGACACACTCATATGCATGCGCAGCGGAGTCTTGAGTGTGGTTTTTTTTGTTGTTAAATTATTGCAGGTCGCTGTGCGTTTTTTGCATTTTCATTGGTTCAATATTTCTCATGAAACGCGTACTGCTTCTGGTGTTTTTTACTGTGCCGTGTCTCTTTCCTTTGCTTTCACTCTGCGTTGACGTGTTGTTAGTTTGTGCTGGAGGCTACACGCAAGTGACAGGAGTGATGGCGATGATGGCTGGCCGTGTGCTGCTGGTGTGCGCCCTCTGCGTGCTGTGGTGCGGTGCCGGCGGAGGTTGTGCCGAAGTGCCCGGAGTATCTCCCTCTGGTGTGTGCGGTGATATTGAGAGGGAGAGAGGAGATTCACGGGATTCATTACGTTCTGAAACGCCAGGATCACACACACAAGGCCCAGAGACACCAGCACCAAAAAGTTCAACAACAAGAAGTTATCTCGCCACCTCCCAAAGACCCTCCGGCAGGAACCGAAGACGGTGCTGGTGGTGATGAGGAGGGAAAAGCAGGAGAAGAAGGTGCTAAGGATGTCGGAAAAGAAAAGAAGGCTGATGCAACAAGTAAAGAGGTAAAAAAAAAAACCTGAAAGCCACCTGATGTCAGTGAAGGACCCGCAGTCGCGTGACAATGAGGGCTTACGGCCACCATCATTGACTGGAACTCGTGGAGTTGGAACGACAACATCAACAAGTGACAGTTTGACAGTTAATACAAACAAACAAGACTTACCGAGCCCTTTGCAGCCTCCATTACCGAACAGCTCACCGCATGCAATTCCATCATCCACATCTGCAGCTGGCCCTGATAACGAGAAACGTCACGAAAGCGGCAATGGCACGAAGAATTCTCAACAGCCTGTGGTAGGAGGCATTCAAGCGAAGAAGGACACTGGCGTGAAAGCTGTCGCTTCAACGGGCGGAGGGGAAAATTCACGATTAACAGTCACGACTGTTGAAGAGATGAGTGATGCGACAAAGAAAGGCGACAGCGACAGCAGTAGCGCGGCCCTGCGGTCTGATGCTGGCACAGAAGGCACTCCAACCACCCCTGATTCGAGCCAACCATCCACTGGAGGCGCAGAACAACCCAGTGCGACTCCCGATCGTGAAGAGGCATCAGACAGCACAGAGAATGGGATCTCTCAGAGTGCAGGATCCGCAACAGCGCCAACCACAAACGCCAAAACAGGTGACACGGCGAAGCCTGTCGACAGTGACAGCAGCACCGCGGTCTCCCACACCACCTCCCCTCTTTTGCTTCTTCTTCATGCGGCTGCTGCTGCGGTGGTGGCCGCGTGAGAGTGAGGGAGAGAGAGCCGTGCACCGCCCGCACACACACTCGTCCTTCTCTCACTGTGTGTGTGTGTGTCCCCTTGCATGGACTCTCGCCCTCACCTCACCCCACGAAGCACACACAATAATGTGCCCATTGTATATATGCATGCACACCCATGCAGGCCCGTTGGTGCTCTCTTTTGCACGACACGCACCGCTGCCGTCCTGCCTGGCTGCATGGGCGGAGCACCGTAACTGTTTCTGTTTTGTTTTTATTGCATTGAGTGGGCGACCTCTCTCTCTCTCCCTCTGTGTGTGTGTGTTTTGCTTTACGGGAGCAATGAGAATGTGTGTGCTGGTCGTCCCACGCTTCGGCTTTTTGTTTTGTTTGTTTTCCTTTTTGATTTTGTTGTGATTGAGTGCGCCCATTTTACTTTTTGAACGGCGGCATACTGTGACGGCAGACACTTTAATCTTCTCTTCTTATATTCTCATATTGTTTCATTGTTTCAAAAGTGTCACCCTCTTGTATTCTTGTCGGGCCACTAAGTTTTCTATACGCCTGCCATGCGTCAGTTGATCCACGTCACCCCGCAGCCACCAGCGCTGCTGTTACTTCTGCTTGTGATGATTTCTGTGATGTGTTGTGCATGCGGGTGCCTTGCTGTCACCCTGACGTGCCCTTCCTCCCTCTGACAAGGCGATGCGTGTCGCCAGCGCGAAGTCGATCTCATCTGTGGCGAATGACGTGTCCTTTTGGAGCAGAGGGTACGTCGCAGACATACACCGTCATTGTGAGGAATGGATGGGCGCCTATCTGCATCGATGTTTCTACAAGGGACCTGGATGGTACCAGGAAGTATTGCAGCTCAGAGCGGCATTACGCAATGAATTCATTGGGCGAAAATTGTGACTGTAACGATGACGTTTTTTTCTACTGAGAATAGGGAAAGTTTTCTTTTCGTTATACGTTGCGGCCACTATCCGTTGATAGGCTGAGGACTGTCCGTAGAAACGTGGCCTAATTCTCCGTCCCGAACGGTGCTATCGTGCGAGAGGAGTTATCCCACAGCATGTGCGGCAGGGCCTCCCGTGGACCGTCGGACGGCTCAGCAGCTGGTGGGGGTTGCAGTAGCGGAGTGGCTGGAGGGCTATGGTTGTCATTGGAGCTTGCAGAGGTGCGTTGTCCGTTTTTTGCTCGTTGATAAGCTTGACATTTTCGGTGGCGACGTGTTCTTAAGGCGCCTGTTAAAAAGACGGTGGAGCCATTGGGACATCCGCACGCGAGGACTTCTCCAACTATCGGAACGCCAGGCTGAGCACGTCGAGCGTGTGCCCTCCATGTTGTGGACGGACGAGCGCACTCTGCCGAAGATTGGGCAGGACATCAATCCGCCGCTCGCTTTTCGGCAAGGAGTGGCGGCGCTCACGTCGTGAAGATGTTCCGGCGGAGACAGAGGCGAGCCGGTCTCCTCGGTGAGGAGGGACGGCACCACCGACACAGGGAGCTGCTTGTGATTTGCAGGGCGCGTGCAGGCCTTTCGAAGAGTGGGCGGGAGTCGCATCACGCCTGAGCACAGTGCCGCCACTCGTGGCACTATTTCCGGGTCGACACCAGGAATGGAGCCCTCGCCACACCGACAAGCGCCTGTTGTGCGGTGTGTGCCTTCCTTTTCCTCCTGGACATCCTTCCAGTATAACCTCTTGACGGCCGTAAGGAAGTCCACGTGCCAGATTGGGATGCCCTCTTGCGGGAGAGATCGTGCAATCGTGGCTTCTTCGTCACCGGCCTCATTGCGTGGGATACCGCAGTGTTACGGGAAAATATAAATTCTACAGAGTGACCTCGCTTCACCAAGGAAAGCAGCATAATCCAAATCTCTTCAGTAACGCAGTCTTGCATGGCGTATGGGACAACGCGGAGTGCCTCAATTGCCGGCAGGGAGTCCGTAGCCACCAGGATTCGTGTGGGCGATTGGGATGTGTCCAGACAAGGAGGTATGAGATGTCTAAAGCCATTTTCAGTGGCAATACACTCTGCTCTATATGAGCATGCGAGCCTGCCAGCTGCTGCACGATGGACCTCCACAGGGAGATAATTTGCCGTGGTGGAGCCGTATAACAGTGCGGCGTGTCCAGATGCGAGCTCAGCGAGGGATGAAGAACCGTCCGCCCATAATTCAAAATCGTAATCTCCCAGAGAGGAGTAAATGGAATCAAAAGCCGTGCGCTTGACATCGCCAGAGACGCCTTGAGCAAAAATTGGCTGATAAAATCCCACTTTGTTGCAGCTCACAGTGTCCCAGGGAATAATTCTACGTTGGGTAAGAGGAGGAGCACGAAGGTGGTTGCGGGGTATCCCAATAATGTTACAGACGCGTTGTAATTCATTAATAACGGCAACTCTCGAAAGCGGAATTGGTGTCGCCGCCTTCCCATGCATGGATGGCGGCATAGGCTCAGAGTAGATAAGGGAAAGCAAATACTCATAATCATGGAGGCGTATATAGCGTTCGTATTGTGTGAGTGCACGGCGCCAGAGTGTCTTTTTAGAGCGGGAGAAGATTGGCTTCCAAGTAGACAGATGTATCTTCCGTAGATGCGCTAAGGCCAAGGGATGTTTTACAGCTGTCGCGGTACCGCACTTCCATATTATGGAGGTATGTGGGGGCAAGGCATGGGACAATTGTCTCGCCACAATACAGTGACACACCGTGGACGTATCCAACCGAAAAGGACCGCATGGTGTGATGGGACGCACCAGCCCGTGCGACCAGCCGCAATTGATAGCAGCGTGGCATGATCTGCTTTGTAGTGGTGGAAGCGTGCGTAATCAAAATTAAGAAGTCGATAAATCGTGGTGTCCAGCAAGCGCATTGGGCATGACTGAATACGTAGGTTCCCATTGCCAGGATGGAGATCGACCATTTCCTCGTCAGACCGTGTGTGTGAAGAGACGTAGAATAGAGCAGCTTCACCCTTACCGACGTTGATTTTTAGGCTGTGTCTGGCAGCCCATTTCGATACAAGTGACAGGGCAGGCTGCATTGCCGCAGCACATGCATGTATGTCCACACCTGAGGCAACAAGTACGAGGTCGTCAGCGTGCATGAGTGCGGAGGCAGAATATATGTTGTCCAGGCGGTGCAGCAGATCATCCACACAGTAGAGGAAGAGTCGGGGTCGCGGGACGCTGCCTTGCGGTGCTCCGGCTGGGGTGAGTTGTTTCCGGGAGTGCTGTTAGAGAGTGCATACCCTAACATAGCGGC